TGATTTTATTCGTCTGTCGATCGTATGAATGAGGGAAATTTCTAGTCAAAAATGGCATACATTGGATATTAATGATTGTATTCACCGATATACAAGCAAATGAGAGTTCTCCGGTCGAAATTTATTCTTTTCCAAGATGTTTTTGATGAGCCGAAAAGATTGAGGTCGGCAGAGGCAGAAAAAGACGAGCGATGAGCGAAAGAGATTGGAATCTCCCGTCGAAAATTCGCTTTGTTGTTCGACTCGAGCCAACTTTGTCGAAACGATAGGTTTGGTGGTGGTCAAAGCGGAGCTTGAATTGAGAGGAGGTGGCCGCGCCACAAGGCGTTCTCATCGACAATCGAGAGGTGGAAAACATTTATCATACTACTTTACGATTTTCTCCGATCTTGATGGGATAAATATAACGAGTAACCATGTCATACGATTTGTCTGCAAAGAAAACGCGAAATTGTGGAGCCTACATACACTATATTCTCAGCTATAATAAGTTACCACCGGAGAGTCCCCGTAAATTTAAGCATGAATGTCTTCTTTCACTTTGCATGTCCCAGGTTGTACAGCTCCAACTCGTTCTTCGGGCCTTTGACCTCCCCAAGCCCCATACCTTCTTTAATTCCATCCGCATTACACTTCATGGACAGCTTCCAAAGTGTCCTTAGGGCTCCACCCGCTGCGACGGTGATCGGCAAGAGCTGACCCGTCCCCCAAATCGAATGTACGCCTGTAATATCGTTCCACTTGATAGTGAGTTCGATCGAGGTGACTACGAATGCGGTAATGATGAGCATGGGGGCCTTGAAGAGGAAGATGGAGATGATGCGCATGCGACTGTCGAAGGCGTCGACGAAAAAGTACATGCTGAGTTGGGAGGCATATTTGTCATTCGAGTGGAAATACCAGAGGGAGAAGGTGCATGCAGTAAAGTAGACAAGGCCGAATGTGAACATGACTTTGAGGAAGGTCCGGAACCAATGGAAGAGCTCCTAATTCCGGAGAATTCAGTTTCGATGTCTGAATTATAGAGAATGAAGTACTCACGACTTTAGCAAGGAAAAAAGATGTGTACTGACTACAGGCAATTGGCTCGGTTTGGAGTGAATCCATACCGACAAAGGAAAACC